TTTTTAATAAAAAAAAAAAAAAAAAAAAAAAAAAAAAAAAAAACGCAATTGCATTGAGTTGCAGAAAGTTATTTGTTGTTGACCTACATCTTGACCAATCTAAATTTTAGTTTGTTTTTTTTTTTTTTTTAAGTTTTCCAAATCAGTTTAAAAATCAAACATTAGTTGACTGTTTCTCAGGAAAACTAAAAATTCATTCAATTTCAGATTGGAGAGCAAATTTCTGAAAATGAAAATTCAGACACTTCTTTCTTTAAACAGCCCGATGTTCTTGGTTCCTCCCTTTCTGTAGATCATTCTCACACATTTTCCCTCATGTTTTCCTTTGGAAGCGAATATGCAGCGTCTCCAAATGCACTTGTGTATGGAAGTTAGATAATTTGGATGACCTTGTGAATCTTTATCAATAAGCAGAAACGGATCATTTGATCTACCTCATTTATTAAGATGTAGAAATAGTTTTGTAATACTGCAGTTTTCTTGAATATCCTACAAAACATACAAACAGGATACATTTCAACTTCATTAAGAAAAAACAGTCAAATAAATATATAAAAACAACATTTCCCTCTTGTATCTTGCCCTGTTTTTTTCCGTAGTTGGTGTCTCAGAAGGAGCTCTCCGTCTTTTTGACGTCTGGCGCCTTCTCGCTCTCGGGCTTCATGGACAGGACCAGCTCCATCTCCTGGCCAGGTGAAAACTCTGGCACTTTGTTGATTTTAGCGAAGCTCTGACTGATGTCCATGAAGGTTTTGTTTTTGGTTTCAGGGAGGACAACGCAGAGGTAGATGGATCCCAGGATGCAGACCACCACGAACACCAGGAAGGCAAATGACTGCAGCTTCTCCTGCAGAAACAGAAAATGATGCACCAATGAGAGCAGATCATTTTTAGACTATTTTAGCTCATGAACGACTGCATGAAATCAGTTACACTTAAGATGAACCAACTAAATGTGACATGTAGTACAGATTATTATTATTATTATTTTTTGGTTTTGCTTTTCTTTAAACCACTTCTTTAATTACCATCCACAAAGACAGATCCTGAAACTGCTTGGCATTTTGTGCTCTTTTAAACTCCACAAAGTTTATGGTGGTCTGTCATGTACATCAATTTAGTGTTCTGATGTTTCAAGCCTTGGAAAACCTAAAAAGAATCACAAATTCACATTTGAAATGACATCAGATTTATACAGCAGTATTAGGAGGCTCAAAGATGCTTTTACAAGGAAATCAGTCATTCACATTCACACACACTTTCACACACTGATGATGGATCTCAGCCACAGATGCTGGTGGCTGTCTGTCACAGGCGAAGCAACCACGTACCGATGGCATCGGCCCTTCTGACCAGCAGGCAAGGCGGACGATGTGCCTTGCCCAAGGACACAACGACAGAGAGGGAATGCAAGACCAACTCCTACTACGATGAAATTTTCATTTCAAATTACATGTTTTTGCTAACCTGTCCAGCGTGTACCCTACGTCTCGTCTGAAATGTCTCCCTGGAGACAGGCACCAGCACCCCTCCTGACCCCACAGGGACAAGGGCGTAAGAAAATGGATGGATTTTTTTGACGATTGTTAAATACATGGAGGCAAGAGGAGAGTCTGTGGTTTTTATTCTAACAGTGGGTCTTAGTGAAGTTGTACCACATGTGTTTTGTGGATCTGGAGAATGCTTATGACCGTCTTTTTAGGAATACTGTGGAGGATCCGCGCGGCTGCTTTCCGGTCCAAGTGTACCCAAAGCAGCAGGAGCCGTGTGTGCAAAGGTAAATTTGTTCCCTTTGTGTGTTGGACTCCATCCGGGCTGCTTCTTGTCTCCAGTCTCGTTTGTGGAGCCGATAGACTGAATCTCAAGTTCGACTGGTGGAGGGGAGGGTTTCCGGTTTAAGACCCTTAGGACGTCATCAAAGAAATTTGCAGATGACGTTGTTTTCAGACCGTGACCTTTTGTCGTGAATTGGTTTGCCACCAACTGTGATGTTGCGGTGAATCTGCGCCGTCATAGTCGGGAGACATTTTCATACTTGGTGGAGCAGAATCTTCCTCACCAGTAGCGGTGGGACAAAGCGGACATGTTGTGGTAAAGGAACAACTTACACAAAAATCTAAGCTATTGATTTATTTGCCCATCCATGTTTTGACCCTTGCTTTGTGGTCATGAGGTACAGAACATGACCTAAAGAATAAAGTATCAGAAACAACTGACTGAAATAAGCTTCCTCTGCAAGACAGCTGGACCCAGCTACCTTGCAGAGGAAGAGGATGTCAATCATCCCAGGAGGAGCTTGAAGCAGCTCTTCGACATCTTAAGGAGTCGTTTCATGTGTTTCAGGCATCTCATCGGGTTGCCTTCTCGGAAACCCCCTTTCGAGGTTTTCCACACACCGGAAGGAAACCCTGGGGTAGACCCGGAACTCGCTGGAGGCACTTTATGAAACTTCTGGCCTGAACATGGGGTGGGATGAACTGGGTAGTGTTGCTCCAACAAGTGAAAGGCAATATACTGACAGATGAAACACACAAACGCTTCACATAAACAAGCACACCAGAAAAAGACCAACTCTTATATTTTTGACATACCAGAGCAACATTAATCCAAATAATGTTTCACAAGTATTTTTAATAATCATGATTAAAAAAAAGTCAGGTGTATTTTCATGTACAGATGTGTTTAAATAATCAAACTACCCAAGCTAACCTTGTCCAGAGTGTTTTGCCAATAACACAGATTAGTGACAGATTTAAAATTTAGACATTGACTGATTGCCCAGAGAGAGATTTAGAAACAGAGAGAGGATTTTATGAGTGTGTGTTTGGATGAGAGGTTTTAGGAGGGAGGGAGGGAGGGGGGGAGGGAATGCCACAGGGATTTTAGATGAGACAGAGCAACTTGACTGCCTCTCAGCAATGTTTCGCCAAGCTGTAATCCCTTTTCTCATACAGCGACAGAACCTCAAATGGTGCAATCAACCTGATAATAGAGACCCGATGTCCGCAGAACCCTAGAACCTACTTACTGCTTTTTATTTTTTAATTAATACAATTTCTGTCCAGTTTTTTCTTTTTCCAGTGTAGTTACTGACAACAAAAAGGTGACTTGTAAAGGGCCTGATCCAGCTGTCCTCAAGGAGGACTCGTCGTGCAAACGGAGCACTTTCCTGTCCGTGATGGTCATCATAATTTGAAAGCCCGGCAGATGGAGGAGAATTAGGCCGACGTTTTGGGTAAACCTTTGATCTGTTGCAGTGAGACAGCTGGGTTCAATTTGAGGCACACGCAGAAAATAATTAACCAAGGATGTAAGTATCCATCAGATGCTACACTTATACATCTCTCTGTGTAATCAGCTGTGATGTGACTTGATGAGGAGTTTCACCAGGATGTTTTCGCCAGAAGTCCAGATTTGATTGTTAGGATTAGGCTTTAGCAGATTTACGACGGTTTTGAAACGTCACAGTGACAAAAACCGTAACATTGTCAGTCCTGTGGTCAAAGGTTTCTTTGACCTTTTTGCCATGAGAAAATAAAACAAGGTTGCTTAAGTGTCAACATAACACAGATCTTGATTTTTAAAAATGCTTTGTGCTGATTTTTATTTTTTGGTGTTTTGCTTTTCCCAGTTTGTTTGTTTCGTATGCACAATGTCCTTGTTGAGCAATAAAACAGAACAGCAGAAACCAGCTAATATTCTGCAGAACAGGCATAACTACTTCAGATCATTAAGAAATATTAGCACTGCTAAGCACCTTTTCACGTTTTGTCACGTTACCAAAAATGTTGGTACCTTCTTGTGGAGATGTTGTGACAAACTACCAAAAAGTACATAATTGTGAAGTGGAAAAAAATTGCTCTACTCATTTGTTATTTTAAGACCTTCTGGTAGATTTTTGGTGCTACTTGTTTCTTTGTGTTCTTCTTTATATCTATAGGTGAGACATTAAGATAAATGCAACATCCATCATTGTGGGCGACTGACGGATTCCTGTCAAAAACTACACATTTATTACTTTTAACGTAGCCAGCTGATAATTACATTGGTAGCTGGGAACTAAACTTAGCGCTTGCTTAAGTCAGACATTCAAGTATTTTTTCGATTACCACCAACCGTCGTTTTTTTCTGGTAACCCACGGGAAGTGAAACCAGTACCATCAGAACCAGGACAACGCATGTCTTGTATCCACTAAGCTCAACAAAACCCTTATTATAAAAGTCTTTGGAAGAAGATCAGGCTTTCAGGCAACAACGTGGCAAAACAAATCAGGGCAGAATAAAGGAGATCACACAAGTAAGGAGGAGTGTAAGGAGACTAATAGAAGGCAGAACTTAAAGCTTCTCTACAGACATCCACCTAATGATGACGTTTAAAAATGACCTTGTCTGCTACGTGTCCATGCCTGAAAATTTACAGTCACAAGTTTCTGGGGCAACAGTGACTCATCCTGGGTGGATGGGAGCTCTGAGCTGCAGTGGAAGACAGGATGGAGTTGTGTGTTTGCGTGTGTGTGTGCGTGTGTGTGTGTCTCTTGTCTATTTCCATCCACAGCCCTGAACACTGTCTCAAACAAACAGACTAGAGGGAAATACACAAGATTAAAACACCAGACAGGACCATTCACTATGTTTATGGATTATCAACTAATTACTTCAAATTGCATACAAGACAACGAATTAAACATTTCGTCCTTGGATCGTAGTTATGGTGGTTCTTACTCCTCACAAACTCATAAATCTTACAAAATACCCATGAAATCTTGAATAGCTCCTTGGTGTAAGAGCAGTTCATTACAGTCTAATGTGGAGGTGATTTATTAAAGTCTTCATTTTGTCTGATTTTAGAAGGTAATTGTTCATTTGATGCCATTAATTAACTGGAGCTTTTTTCTCTCCTCCATTTGTACCGTGAACCAACCTTTTCACTAAACCTTGAAGTTTTTAAGTCCAGACTCTCTCGCCCATTTCCGCTAACCAGCCGGCATTTTAGACAACATTTACAACAATATATAAAGAGAACATGCTGCTTGTTTTCTAATGTGTTCCCATGACTATCAGTTTCTATGCTAATACTGTGTTTCTGTGTCATGAGGTCAAATTTCCTCTGTTGTTAAAGTAGCTCAGAAATGATCAATTTCAGTCATTTTTGTTCGCTATACTTAAAACTCTCAATGTGAAGCTGCTTCCATCCTCTAATAGCATTACGTGTGTGTATTCTTTGTTTTTTTTGTTTTTTGAAAGTGCAAACATGATTTTTTTTTCTGTGGAAGATGCTCAGGCAGCTCAACTGTGACATCGATCCTCATTTCTACAGTCAGAAGCACACAGAACTAAATGTCTGCCATTTAAACATGGCAAACCTTCAAAATGCTTAGTAAAAATGTCCATATGTTCACCTGACTTAACATATCTGTGTTGAATGTATCCATTTTGAATGGGAATACGTTTGGGCCCGTCCCAACTTAATCCTGCCCAGAAATTGACTTTTTTATTACATTTTACAAATAAAACTTTAGAAGGTGTCTTCTTCAATTTTTTACCTATAATTTACAATTCTTGAGTTTGTCAATACTGCTAAAATTCATATTAAATAATAATATATCCAAACACATTGATAAAATTAATTGCCTCACAGTCGCCTGTATTTTTATTGCAGTAAAAAGTCACAGACTGCGTTGAGTTTAATCCGTTTGAATACAGTGTTACCGCTGACATGTGTTTCTCTCATTTGATAAAAATGTACTTCTGTTTTATTTTTTACAGTCCTAAATAACAGCAGCGCGTTTCCCTGTGAGGTGTTTGTAGAGTGGACTAGTTAATTTTCATGATTGATGCCTGGCCGCC